TAAATGCAGCCTTGGTGAGCATAAGAGACTTATTTAAAAAAATAAAATAACCCATGCAAAGTCAGTTTTTCAACATGATGTAATGTTTCCAGTAAAGTCACATACCACACATGACCTCTGTAGGCTTGATTCAGATGTGCTAAAATCAATGATACAGTTCCCAACCCAACTCAATGTATGTGGCCACTATTTAAAGAAAAAAAAAATGTTTTAATTGTGTTAAAACTTTGCCTTGACATGACAGAGGATCTGTAAACTGCAGTAACATCTTGAGAAATGTGGAGTGAGGGACAGACAAGACGTACTGATGCTATGCAAATGAGCAATTAGAAAACTAGGCCAAAAACTACAGGAGGCAGATCCTCAAGTTGGAGAGACCAATGGCCTTCTTTCTTTCAGATTACTCAAAAAGCAATGTGTGATCTGATGTGACATCTCTCTGCACAAACATGACAAGCTCAATTACAGGAAATTGAGAAAAACAGAAATTTCTGAGAGTCAGTTAGAGAAAAGCCAAGACATGCAGACATACAGATGCAGGCTGTGCTAGTTAGTGACTATAATCAAATGACTTCTGAAAGCTTTCTGGCTGAAAAAAAAAACAATCTTATCGGCCGAAAAGATCAAAGGACTAATAAATAGTCTGATAGCATGTGGTCTTGCTCTTCCAGTTGTTCTTATGTGTTACTTTTTATTTGATGTACCTTGCTTTGAACATTCACCCCATATGTGACCAATGACAGGCCAGGATGTGTGCTTAGAAAAATAAAGTCCAGCTGTAATGTGTCTCAGGCGCAAGTGTCAATCAGAAGATTTATTAAGGAGGAACATGGATACAGTAAACACACTCTGTATCTTCATCTAAAATTGATGATGTCATCTATCTTCAGATGAAAGCATCTTCTAATAAACCAATCTACAAGAAAACAGCATGTTTCAGGTATCAAATGAACACACTATTACATTCAAGTGTATAAATTACTCATGTGTAAGCAAATTGTGTGCAGACACTGTGTGGCGTCCACGGAAAGAGCAAAAAGGGGGGAAATCAGATTAATCCTCAGCCTATTCGACTGAACCACAACTCCTGCATTCCATCAAAAGGTATTTTAACATTACTTAATGGAGGTAAAGTCTGGGTGCCTTGCCATTCACATATTTACAATTACACATTACAATGCTGGTCAGAGGTGCAAAAGACTCATGTTAATAGTCATTCAGTGTTGCAAAATTCACATGGTCCAGAATTCACCATTGTTTTAGATTATAAAATTAAACTACATTTAAAAAAAACTTTTTATCTCACAGTTTTTTCTTGCAACTGTGAGTTTATATCTTACAATTCTGAACTTTTCTTCTTCAAAATTCTATGAAGAAATGTCAGAATTGTGAAATATAAACTTGCAATTGAAAAAAAGTCAGAATTGTGAAAACTTGTAAATACCTTTTTTTATTGTTATTCCATGACAGAAACAAACTAAAATAAATACATAAAAATAAAATAAAATTGCAAGAAAAAAATTGCAGAATTGCAAGGTTTAAACTCTTTGTTTATTTGACTTTAATGGCTTTTTGCCTTTTTTTTTTTTACTGACTAATGAAAATGTGGTTAGAATTGCTCCTGAGATTATTGAACAAAAACAGAATCTCCTCATTAATATTGCTGATTTTTGTGAGGTTTAATGAACACCATAAAATGACTTTGTGATTCTATGGAAATCTCCTTGTGAAGACCTGAATCAGAAAGTCCTCAAGTTCTTTGTGATAAATGCATGATGGATACTACCATTAAGCCAGTTATGATCAGATCATTTTAAGCAAGGAAGAGAAGAGCAACAGTTAATGAGCAGCTGAAATGTTCAAACTTTAATGCTTTCATTCATTTATGCAAATGGGCAAATTAGCACTCAAGAGTGTGAATTTAACTGTAGGCTTTTCACAAGCCTCCCACTGTGTATATACATACAATTTTATAATAATACTCTAACTTCCATTCTTATAGTTTATGAGCCCATAACCGATACCACAAAGAACCTTAGAGTTCTTTCAACTAGTCCAGACTAAACATGTAGAATAGAGTGTGCAGATCCCAAGTTTAATCAATAAAGCACAGCGGCATACGGTTTAAGCTGCAAATCCAGTTTGTCTCCCTGTTTGGCTTTAATTAATGGCAGAGACATAAACGACAGTATATCCTCACACCAGACCGCCATCTGTGATAGTGGGAGGTGAGCAATTTGACAGACACATACTTTGTGTTGTATGAGTATGTATAAGCTGCTTTGCTTGTTATTCTCTGTCAGAGATATGGCTCCAAAGCAACTGAGTAAGACCAACAAAACCACAAGCATAAATAAAGTAAAGATCTGTGGGGAGGAGATGGTGGGGGGCACCCAGCTGAGGGATGAGCTGAACTCTACCTCAGTGATTCTCAACTAGTTTTACTTCACGACTCCGATTTTACCAACACCATGCACCTAAAAACACATAAAAATTTATATAAATATAAAAATATATATTACTTAACATTATAATATTCAGATGAATACATTGAATTAATCAGGTTCGCAACTAAGACTTGCTATGCTATGAAACCTCTGCTTAATACACAAATGACTGTTCATATTCATTAACCTTTAAAGAATCTAATTCAGGAAGTCTGTTCTCATCTTTGTAATGCCATAATTAATCTCAGAGTCAGATGTAGGTGTTACCTCTTAATGTAGTCGCACCTTCTGGTGATATTCACTGCGGTTATATTATACATCAAACACAATAATTAAAATATGAATTGCTCATTTTCAGTTCCTTATTAGATTTTTGATAATAGATAAGAGTTGTAAAATCCCTCTGTGATTTAACAAAGACATTTTGCATGAGATTTTTGCAAAGCTTCCTATTATAGGATTTATGTGGCACACAGAACTTTAACTCTTTCATGCCATAATTAATCTTCCTGTTTGAATCAAGCAATATCCCAGACATTGGAAAAAGTTTCATATTTGCCCTATACTGACCCCACTTCCTGACCAACAGTGAGAATAGATATGTAGCCATACTACAAGAATAAACAAATGTAAGCAGAAAGAAAAACTGAATATCTAAGTCAATTTTCAAAAACATTGATTAGGTGCACAACTCAGATCTATATTCCTTATTTTTAATGCTAAATCAGAACAAAAGCAACAAAGAGAGCTCCTATGAAGTCGATGGCCATGGTGGAGAAAGGAAAAGAAGAAAAGTGTTTTTAGGTCAAAATGGTAACACACCCCCCTGAACAGAACATGAGAAAGTATAATCAAACCCATGTATCTTGGCAGCCGTCTCGTGAATTACTTTCCTCCTGTAGATTAACATATGGGGCAAATAAGAGTGCTATGAAGTGCTATCCCACCAGTTGGTTCCCTCCCCTCAATGCACAGAGACTTGCTTCCATAAGTATAAATCCTTATATTAATTATGAGCATAAAGAAGGGATAGTTGCTAAGGCTGAAGGGCCCTGGAAAGACCTGGTGTTAAAGTAATACAAAAGTCAAGAACTAAGGTGACAAACTGAAAACTACAAGCATGCATACATCGTATGAATATAAATAAAACAAAGTAGAATCATGCAAATGGTGAAAATGAAAAAAAAAAGAAAAGAAAAAAAAGCATATGTACAATTCTCAATTATTATTTTTTTTTTTTTTAGAGCTGACCATTTTCTTCACATGCTAACAATGACAATGATTTGATCATTACAATGACTGTAAACTAATCTTACAACCCACGTAACATCTTTTGGGGCAGGGTGGCACAACGCATGAGTTATGCAGAAATGGATACTAAATGCCAGAAGCATGACAGTTCCTACAGCCTATAGATCCTCTGCCACTCACTAAAATAAAAGCTGAGGTAAGACTGCATCATACAATGCCAGATTGCAATGACACAATCATTAATAACATGCAGTGCTGGAACTGGCTTGTATCTAGGAGGCTCTCTATTTGAATAATCTTTGAAAATAGTTTAGAAAAAAAATAAAATTTGTGCTCGCAGTACAAAATGCAGTTTGTAATAATTTTGTGTGAATGATTGTAAAGGTTTTATGCACTTCCAGAGCAGAACTCCTAATACCAGGCTGGGCAGGTTAGGGAGTGAGAGGCTTGCTGAATGAATGCAGTTCAGAGGAGAAAAAGAGGGGCAGAACCCTTTTGGAAGCTTTGGGGAGCGGTGGGAGGTTATGGTTACACCAATCAAAATGAGCCTCACCCGGCAGCGTGAAGATTTGATTTCTTAAAGGAGCAGATTTTTTTCTGGTCCAGTGGAGAAGAAAAGGGGTTAAAAATAAAGGCCTTGCTCAATTTGAAAGAAGGGATTGGAAAATGTTTGGTTGCATCTGGAAACATCAACCCTTCTGAAGGAGCCCAATGGCAAGATCACAAATATCCTTGCTTTGAACACTCAGACACGCATGCCATTGACCAGACATACATTTTCTTATCAGTTCCAGCTGATTTATTCATGTCAGATACAGACTTCAGCATGACGACATGTAACTCATTTCCTTTGCTACAAAACGCAGATGGTCCATTTTGAGAGTATATTGCACAAAATAATGAAAAACAAATGTGCCATTATGACGAAAACAAAAGCAAAACAAAATCCAGTTTTACACCTGCTATTTGGGACCCATTCACACGGATATACATAAACTCCTAGCTTTACTATATTACAGAACATATACAATCTTCAATCTAGTACCAGAAATGAGGCTCATATGTTCCCCCAATTCCATTGTACACTTCCCTATAGAAACGCTTCAGATCTACAGCTGTACATTTGCCTTGAGTAAAATAATAACCAGGCATTTAAATGCAAGTCGACTTCTCAGTTTAATTCTCGCATGCTTTTACAAATGAAACCGGGTTGAAGTGCCTGAAGAAACCTCACTTAAAGCACAGTAAGAACATTCCCTTTAACTGTACAAAAATATGCCAGAAAATATTTAATTATTATTATTTTTTTTAAAAAGATGAGGTATGTTGGTCATGTATCAAAATGCTTCCTGCCATACGTGTGCTCTAGAGTGGTTATCTGCTTAAATATTCCCATACTTGGAGGGAAACGGAACCGGTACACACACACGAGAAACATTTGTGGCATACAGAAATTACATAAGACCTCAGAAAAAGTTCCATCCTGAACAGTGTTTCAGAATTGCCTCCATTCGGTCCAGCAACCGTTTTCCAGCTCCCTGTAGAGATATGGGTGGGATGGGAATGCATAGTTCAGATTTTACATTTTGCGCTCCACCAGTTTAAGCAGTTTCACTGCAACCCCACAGAATAGCCACACGGTATGGCAAGCTACTTTAACATTTATTGCTTTAAACTAACTGGTATCTATTTTCATGTGACTTGCACTTATTTTAATTACTGGTAAGTGATTTAATAGTTGCTAGCATCTCAATCTCACTAGCAATCAATCATTTATATACACATTATTCCTACTAGTCACTATCCTATACTAGTACCAACTGGAATAAACACTAGTGCCTGATAATCAGATACTAGTCTACTCAATTAGTACTAGTAAAACTTGAACATATACATGCAATAATTGCAATACATAGTGAATAGTTTTTAACTGACCATGACAGAAAAAAAATGTTACCAGTAACAGCAGAAACAGTATATTGTTACTACTGGGACAGTGACTAGCAGCAAGAAAAAAAGGAAAATTCCTAGTGAACTGAAAAAACACCAACTAATGGCTTACAAGGATACAAGCAAAACAACTGCTTGTCAGTTAAAAGTGGAAGCCATGTAGTTTTAAGGAATACATGTTAAAAGCGCTTGCCATACACACAGCCCTGTCAATGTTGACCACTGTCACTTTTTTCTAAGTTACAAGTCTCGTAACACAGGTTCCGTCGTCTTTAACCAGGACAACCACAGAGGCAGAGTCAAAAAATAACCTGAAGATGCGAGATGCCTCCTTGGTTCTGGAAAAGTTTGTCAGTTAGTAAGTGAAAACCAGGTCTGAAAAGTTCGCCTCCAGCCAGTCTCCCGCGATCATCTCACTGAGCTCGGGAGTGCAATAGTCCGGGAACTCGAAGTGAGAACCGAGGCTGCCCTCGCTGAAAGAGTCCAAATCTTTATCCACCAGAGAGAGACAAAGGTTTCCTGAAGTGTTGCCCAAGTCCGTCGCGTGAGAGCCCGCCGCTAAGTTCAAACTGAAGTCCACCAGCAAGTCATCGGAATCCTCGCTGGAGCTGCTGGACGAAGAAGAGACGGACCTGAAAGAGGATGCTGGTGACACCGAGGCAGGGTAAGCTGCGCTCTGCTTGGTAATGTTCTTGAAGTTGTAAAACAGTCTGCTGCCGGGAATTGCGCTCGTGTGCCTGGACTCCTCGTACATGCTCGCGCCCTCGGACTCCGCAGCGGAGCTCAGCGTGGGGCTCGCGGGGACGTTGTGCAGCCTGATGTACTCCTCGTCCTCGTAGTCACCCTCGTCGTCGTCGTCGTCGTCATCGTCATCTTCGTCGTCAGTAAGTTCCCTTTTTATAGACTTGGTCACTTTTAAGTTTGTGAAAACATAGTTGAATCTGCAGTCTTGTGAAGAAGCTCTGGCGGTAATGTTCCCCGGTTTGCTCGGCTTGAGTTTCGCGCACTTCTTCGCTGCAGCTCTGACACTTTTGCCGATCTTCTCTGGCGACTGCACCGCTGGTTTCGAAGAACTGTCGAGCTTTGGTTTTTTCTTGGGTCTGTATTTGTAGTCAGGGTAGTCAGCCATGTGTTGGAGCCGGAGCCGCTCGGCTTCGCGGATAAAGGGGATCTTTTCACTGTCCTTCAGCATTTTCCACCGCTTCCCCAGTCTTTTGGAGATCTCAGCGTTGTGCATGTCCGGAGACTGTTCCATGATTTTTCTCCTCTCGATCTTGGACCACACCATAAAGGCATTCATGGGTCGTTTAATGTGGCCGGTGGCTGTCTTGCACCAGTCCGGTTTCGGTGGCACCGGGCTGCACGCCATCAGTTCGTTCTCCTCGGTGTCTGTGGTCTCTCGCGACATGCTGCTCTCCGTCTCGCTGTGCTCCGTCTGCAGCACCATGTTCAAAGATACTTTTCTCCCTTGATAGACTCGCAGCTGCCGCACTCTAAAAGACAAACCTTTTTTCAAAGTTACCGACTGCCTTCTTAACTAGTTCCTAGGTTTCTCATATCGATTGCGTCACGTATAATTATCCAATAGCGTGCCACGGCTCCGCCCACAAGCCTAGACATTAACCCTTTGCGTCCAACTAGACCTTGCCCAGTCAGTGATTTAAACGGTGCCTTCATAACCAAAATGCTGCCTGTTAAGAGAACAAACAGCCTACTATGGCATTATAATGTCAAATTTACTGATCTAAAACAAATTCAAGTCAACTGTATAATTAACCAAACAAATAAGTGATGACTATGCTTATTTCTGAGCACAAACTGAGTTATGAATTAATTATAAATGAATTGAATGCTCAGTCTAATGCTTTTTTCATTCTTTCCTGCACATACAGGATTGTGGTATATAAAAGTGAATGATGCATCTATGTTGGCATCAAAAACTAACCAGATGAAGGCATTTTACTAGACTGGATTCGGACATGCCTTGTTGCCATCCTGCCTCTGTACACAGCCCAAGATTTCATTCGTGTGCACGCCTGTGGGTGGGATTTTCATTACGTGTGCGAGACAGGCATATTGAATGAACACCAGGTCTGTTCAGTGCGACACACCAGGGGATAGAGAAAAGGTGAGAGGATAAACATTTACTGTATGACATGTACTAACTACTTAAGCATTACCTACAAAAATACCTGTTAATAATAATAACTGGTGTAATCTCTATAGAACAATAATAGCATGAAAACACTTAATTCATTTTTTTTCTAATGCAGTAAACAAAATGGGACTTCATCAGTTTTGACTTCTGGGGTCCAGAACCCCTCGAGAGCCCCCTCAATTTAAACACTACATTTACATTCATGTCTTCACAAGGTTTTGCAACAATTATTATTATAATAATTATTATTTTGTCTTGCAAAGCTGTGCAGGTTGGTTGAAAATATTCAGTCTACATACACTAAGTTAGGGGTCAGTAAGACTCTTTTTTTAAAGATCGTTTCCTCCTTTTTGCAATTAGGAAAATCTACTGGTGGCACTTGCACACTTCTCAACATCCATGCACTTCATTAACTGATTCCATTTTGACAATATAATGTCAGTGCTGGAGTTGATTATACCCTCCTGTCCCACTTACTTTATATTATGCAAGGAAAATGAATGTAGGTTGTTACTCTGAAGCCTGAGCTCATAATAGAATAATGATGTTATATACAACTCAGTCGTCTTGACCTACATATTTACCTTGCATATTTCTCTATGTCCAGACAGCAGACAGGAGAGGGATTGCAAAGATTTGCTGTGTCAAGGAGGTGAGCAACTCTCTCGCTCTCTCTATTTCTCAGTAGACCACTCTATACCACAGCTCTGGCTGACAGCCAACTCCGTCTCTGAAAAACCTCTCTGCCGTTCTCTCATTTCTCCTTCCCCTAGAGGGCAATCATTTACCCCTTTGAATCAGTCCTGCCCTGCCCCCATGCATCACTTCCTCCCCCACCTCAGACTCATGCAGTGACACATTAGAAATGCAGTGAGAGGATTTTGCTGGGCAGTTTTGCATTGAGATATTGAGATACAGCATAAGATAAATTTTCACGGCCAGCGTCTCCTACAGACCAGACCACCCCCTTCCCTCCCATCACGTCTTCCCGCTGAGACTGGCTGCTTCCGAGGGCTGCTTGCCACAAGCCACATGTCTTTCCAACTCTGAGCCATGGATCATAATATTCTGCTGCCTTTTCAACTACTTTGTATAGTCTAATTTAAATCTGTCAATGTCGCCCCAAGACTTGGAGTTACCAAAGGTTGACATGCTGATAATGTACGAAAGGAACAAAATGAGCTTATTATACTCTTCATCCATCATGCAAACAATAATTTCCACTTGTCCCATGTGTTCTTTAAAAAAAATAAAAATAAAAAAAAAACTGGGTTACAGTGGTGCATTTACAGTGGAAGAAAATAGGGCCTTTTTTGTGCAAAGTTATATCCAATTTTACAACACTGTTGGCATGACAATGCAACACCATGAACACTTAAAACTACTAAAAAAATATTTAAACAGCTTTATAGCGCAAGTTTTAACAGAGGAATTAATGTAAGTGGTTTTATAAAATGATACGCTTCACATTTCAGCTTTTAAATCCTCCAAAAATTGGCCTCATTCACTTGCATTATAAGCGCCCCATTGTAACCCTTAATTTTTGCCTTTTTGTAAAGAAAATGAGGGATGAAGTGATATTATTTTCTGTGATAATCAACATTATGCAACAAATGGTGTCCTTAAAGATTCCTTTAAGCTTCAAGCCAGGAACATTTAAGAATTCTTGCTGCACCCGTTTCTCATTTTATTTTTATAATAACACCCTACTGCTCTCAGAGCAGTGGTGCATTACAGAAAATTAGATGAGGCTTGTACAGTGGTAAAATGGGCCTGGCGGAGAGAAGAGGTGAAAAAAAGATGATAGAGAGACGGAGAAGAGCACACCAGACAGGGATGACTCATCTCCTCCATGGTGTTGATCTTTCTTAGACTAGGAGCTGCCACTCACCCGCTAGAGAAGTGCTAAAGCAATGGATCGATAGACAGTCCTGACTAGGAGCTATCTGATATTGAAGATGCAGGGACGTATACCTTCTGAATGGCCCCTGGATGGGCTCGTTCAATATGCCTTCAATCTCAACTGCACACAAAAGGCCAAAGTCAGATTAGGTGACTGCGGAGTTGGAGAGACACTTGCAATGGGTGGAGTGCCACATTCACATAAATTAGTTAACAAGCCTAATATCCTGGCCATTGATTGGGAATGCGTTGGCTAGCATTGGTCTCAGGGGCCGTAGCTTACCTAACGGCTGCCGTTAGATGTGTGAACTCAAAGCACTGTTGAGTAGGTGTGGAAGTGGACTGTTGTGATTGTTCTGCAACACTTTGCTTTTTTGTCTTGTAAAGCTGTGTGGGTTGGTTGGAAATATTTAGTTTAAATGTACTTCTGGTTCAATAAGGTTTTTTAAAAAAGAAATTAATATTTTTATTCAGAAATTGTGAATTAAATTCATAAAAATTGACAGATTTTTTTTTTTTAAATATTTATTTATTTAAAAAATGTTAAATTTTTATTTTACAAAAGATTCTGTTTGAAACAAATGCTGCTCTTTTGAATTATTCGTCAAAAAATCCAGAAAAAAAGCATCACAGTTTCCAAAAAATATTAAGCAGCACAACTGTTTTCAACACTGATAATAAGCCCAAATCAGCATATTAAGATGGATTTCTGAAGGATCCTATGACACTGAAAACTGAGGTAATGCCTGCTGAAAATTGAGTTTTACCATCACAGGAATATAATATAATTTAAAATATATAAAAATAGATTTTTAAAAATATTTTAAGTGTATTTTTCATCAATTACATGCAGTCTTGGTGAGCACGAGAGATTTTTTCAGGAAAATATTTCCAACCCCAAACATTTGAACGGTACTGTACATTTTACAAAATGGTTAAACCAGAGGTTTTCATATTTTGCCAAAGAGCCTCAAATAAAATGACTTTTCAAGAAATCCCCTTCCGACAGCTATATATTTTTATGTATCAATTAATCCATGAATATAATACATAATATTATGTGATACTATACAGTAAATACAATACTTAAGTTAACAGTGTATTTTTTTAAATGCCAGATTAATAGTTTACATTTTTCACAGAACACCAATCTTGCGATCTTGCAGGCCCCAGTTTGAAAACAACTGGTTAAACATTTCTCTTTGTTTAGTTAACTAAACAGGTCTTTACTTTCAAGCTGTTAACAAGAAATGGATGTCAGCAGTAGACCGCACACCAAAAATGTTGTATGAAATGATTTTCAAAGATGTCTAGAGGAAGCATTTTCTGTCATTTTGTTCTTTGTTTTATGGACATTTCCTCAATTCACCAAGCATGATATTTGATCTAATTCTGTCATTTCCAAAACATTTTTTTCCCATCCTCTAGTGAAAATAGCGTTGTCGCTGTGATTTGGGGAAAGTGAAGGATTTTGTTATCAGGGTTAGATAAGAAGCCTCTGAAGTGGAATACATACTGTAATGCAATTGACCCCATGTTTCCACACTTTCAAGGTCTGATGCTTGGCAGACAGGAGTGACTTCATGAGAAGATAAACAGAGAATACTTAACACGCTGGTGTGTGCTTGTGTTAGATGTTGTTAATGCAGCAAATGCAATGGCAGATTACACTCCAACACCATAACCTTGTTCTCGTATTCTTACAAAAACATCTCTATGTGAATTGGAGGTGGCTGTTGAAGTTATTTACAGGATTTCACAACACTCTGTTCAGTGCCTCCGTGTCAAAATGATGAAAGTACTGAGGTAAATGGCAAAAACAACTTACAATTCTCAAGTTACACTACTATTGACTTTGAAAAAAGTTACTAACTCAATTTATGTTAAAACCTGCATGTTTCTGGCTTTGTATTGTCAAGCAGCATAAAATCAAGCAGTTGTCATCAGTCTTCTAACATGACTAGCCTTATAATAATGTATAAACAAGCAAAGAATGTGCAAAACTACATTTGTTCAAAGTCAAGTAGTTGGTGGATCACCTGAAAGAGAAGGCAACTAGTCAGTTTTAACCCTGTAAAGCCCGACATATAATATAATAGTCAGAAAAAAAAGTATTTTTTGTTTTGGGAAAAGTTTATTTGACCTACAGGCGAAATATAACTAATAATAATATAAATTATAATAAATTGCAAAAAAAAGTATTAAGTGTCATATTTGATACATAAGACTTTAATGGCTCATATAGTATGCTACCAAGTAATATGTTACTCATAATCGAGGAGGAAAAACACCTCACTTTTATTACAAGAGGCCCAAACCAAGCAGAAATATGCATTTTGGGGAAGTTGCTGATATTAATATGTCCAAAATGTAAGATTAAATTCTTATAACTCGCAAATTGCTCATATCTTTATAATAGTATAGCAGACTGCTTACATAAAATGCATGTAAATATCATGTGTCACTCCCAATATCTCCCAATAATATGTCTTGGTATTATATTTATGTGCTT